TCTCTGTGATGTCACCAATGTCCCTGTGATGTCACTGCTGCCCCGGTGATGTCACTGCTCTGCCTGTGATGTCACCACTTTCTTTTTGATGTCACTGCTGTCCCTGTGATGTCACCGCTGTCTTTCTGATGTCACTGCTGTCCCTGTGATGTCACTGCTCTGCCTGTGATGTCAGCGATGTCTCTTCAACCAGACTGCAACCACCACTTTTCAATCAGACTGTGACCACCACTGTTAACCCGACTGCAGATCACCACTCTCGACCAAACTGCAACCACCACTCTTGACCAGACTGCACCACCACTCTCACCAACAGGGTTTTTTCCCCTCTCCCTTTCCTTTGGGCTCAGGGGGCCCAACAAACACCACTCTGTTCATGCCCCAGGGTGCTGGGTTATACATTAGGGTTTTGTGGGTTAAAACCAACTGTTTGTCTGTATAATCGTACTTATTGTGTTATTTTATTAAAATGTTATTCTGACTTATAATCTCTCTTTTGGGTTGAGTTCATTTCCCCTGCTGGTTTACCTTTAAACCAGCACAATCAGACTGCTGAAATTACCGGGGTATTACTCTGCTCCCCATTGCTGGCAAGATCCTGGCAAGAATACTCTTGAACAGACTAACACCCACTATAGCAGAAGGAATTCTCCCTGAAAGCCAGTGTGGTTTCAGAGCCAACAGGAGCCCCACAGACATGGGATTTGTCCTCAGACAACTGCAAGAGAAGTGCAGGGAACAGAACAAAGGTCTCTATGGAACCTTTGTTGACCTCACCAAGGCTTTCGATACTGTGAGCAGGAAAGGTCTGTGGCAGATTTTGGAATGTTTAGGTTGTCCCCCCAAGTTCCTTAAAACGATCATCTCACTCCATGAGGATCAGCACGGCCAAGTCAGATATGGCAATGCACTTTCTGAGCCCTTTCTAATAACCAATGGTGTGAAACAAGGCTGCGTTCTTGCTCCAACCCTATTCACAATCTTTTTCAGCAGGATGCTCCAAAGGGCCACGGCAGACCTCGATGATCAGGACGGGATCTACATCCGATACCGTACTGATGGAAGCCTTTTCAACCTAAGGGGACTGAAGGCCCACACCAAGACCTTAAACCATCTTGTCCAGGAGCTGCTTTATGCTGATGACGCCGCCCTTGCTGCCCACACAGAAGCAGCTCTGCAGCGTTTAACATCCTGCTTTGCTGAGGCTGCTGACCTCTTTGGGCTGGAAGTCAGCTTAAAGAAGACAGAAGTTCTCCATCAACCTGCACCTCAGGAAGTCCCCCATCATCCCCACATCACCATTGGCCAATCAGAGCTCAAATCAGTCCAGCAGTTTAATTACCTAGGGAGCCTCATCTCCTCGGATGGTGAGATTGACGGAGAGATGGACAACAGGTTAGCAAAGGCATAGAGAGCTTTTGGGAAACTCCATAAAAGAGTTTGGCGAAATAAACACTTGAAGAAAAGCACAAAGATCAGTGTTTACAGAGCCATTGTGTTGTCTACTCTCTTATATGGGTCCGAATCATGGGTCATCTACAGCCACCACCTGCGACTCCTGGAACGCTTCCATCAACGCTGCCTCCGTACAATCCTAAACATCCCCTGGTCAGATGATGTGACCAACACATCTGTTCTAGAACAGGCAGCAGTCACAAGTATTGAGGCCATGTTGCTGAGAACACAGCTGTGCTGGGCAGGGCACGTCTCCAGGATGAAGGACCAACCACCCCCTCCCTAAGATCGTACTCTGGGGTGAACTTGCCACCGGCTGCCGCAAGAGAGGAGCCCCGAAGAGGAGATACAAGGACTGCCTGAAACAACATCTCAGCCTTGGCCACATTGATCTTCATCACTGGTCTACTCTGGCCTCCAGTCGGGAGGTCTGGAGACACCCCATCTCTAACGCTGCTGCTTCCTTTGAGAACGCAGCAGGATCACCATCGAAGAGAAAAGACAACGCAGAAAGAACCGTGTCCTGTCGATCCCATCCAAGGAGTCTTTCTGCTCTGCCTTTTGCAACTGGACGTGTCTATCTCGTATTGGCCTCTTTAACCACCAGTGTGCTTGTAGCAAATGTGGGCAGAGCCCTTCCCAAATCTTCGTTCATGCAGCCCAGCCATGATTTTGGATATTAATTTGGGAGTCTGGACTCATTGGTTTATTTGGTTCTGGAACTGGTATTTGGGTTATTTGGTTTTGGAAACAGGTATTTGGTTTCTTTTGTATTATGGGTACTTCAGGTTGCAAAGAAAGAATCTTGAAGAAATCCTTTCTGCTATTTTGGATATTAACTTGTGATTTCTGGACTTATAAGTTGATTTGGTTTTGGAAACTGGTATTTGGGTTATTTTGTATTCCTGAACCATTGGAAACAAATTGGGACCCCTTTGGAGGGACAAAGCTGTTGATGCTCCAGGGGTTCCAGGATCCTGAGGATTCCAGTGCCCACTGAAAGTTATTCAGGGAGATCCTCTCAGTCCCTGGATGCAGGGAGTTCCAAGCAAGATCCCTGGGATTTTATTAAGACATTAAAAAGTCTATAAAAGTTATATAAAAGTATATAAAAGGTGTACCTAACAACATAGAAATGGAGCTCTATAATATAATATGATTGACTTATAAAAAGTTGTGATAGAACTGTAAAAGAAGAGGTGTGATGCCTCAGAGCTTTTTGGAATTTTTAACTTTGGTAGATTTTAGAAGTAGTGGTGTAGTGATTGTTGATTTTAAGGGAGCTGCATTCTATCCCTTACCCTGTAGCATAATGTTTGCACATCCCCAACCCTGTTACCCCATCCCATATCAACCCCTCTAAATCCCGTTAGCGTGTTTAGTCTTCTTTTCAAGGCAGAGTTGTAGAAAAGCCTGGACCAGAAGACATCACACAGACACAGCCACCTTCAAGCCCAGAACTCGGGAGGAGCTCCAAGGACTGTGGGAGCTGCGAAGAAGATGAAGCTGAGGAAGAAGGGGTCCCAAAGAGCCCAAGCCCAATTCCCAAAGGGGTGTGTCGGGGGCAGAATGGGGCAGAAGTGGGGGGTGGAGAGATCTGGGGTTGGATGGACCTTGTTCTAAAATCCCAGAGCCACTGCCTGGGGGTGCCCGTCGTGTGTGTTCCCCTGGCCTGAGGCTCCACTACAGGACCTGCTCTCTTTATCTCATCTCATCCACTCCCCTGGCCTGGAGTCTTTTCCTCTGCACTCTCTTGAGGCAACGGGGACTGGACCTACCAGGTGCTGGGGATGCTGGAAATCCCCCCCGGTGCCGGGTGGAGCACGTCAGCCTGGAGCACCCCCTCAGCCGGGACTGGGGTACGGCCCGGCCCCCCCAGCACCGGGGGCACACTGGGAGGGGGGTGAGGGGCTCTGGGGGCTGTGGGGGGAACTGGGAGGGAGTTTGGGGGGTAAGGGAAAGGGTCTGGTGGGGAATGGAGAGTCTGAGAAGGAGGTTGGTGGGTACTGGGAGGGCTGAGAGGGGCTTTGGTGAGTCCTGGGGGCAACTGGGAGGGAGTTTTGTGGGAGCCTTTTGGGGATGGGAGTGGCTTTGTGGGGAAATGGAAAGGCTGAGAAGAGATTTGGGGGGGTCCTTGGAGGGCTGAGCGTCCCAGCCTCGACCCCCCAATCCATCCCCGCGCTGATTTTGGGGGGGTCGTTTATCCCCCTGTACCTGCTTTTGTTCTGACACCAGCCAACTGCTACCGGTGTTCCCAGTAAAGCTTCCCAATTCTCTGCACTCCCTGGATGCCCATTTTTGGGTTCACCTGAGCTTCCCCCTCCCCCACGGACCCCCCCGAACCCCCAGCCCCGGGGCTGCCGCGGGGGCCCCCAACGGCCCTCAGCCAATCCCAAAGCGCCCACGCCGCCCTCACCCAATCCCAGCGCGCCGCGCTGATGACTCATCAGTCGCCGGGAAGACGCCTCGAAAAAAGGGCCCCACCTGCGCCCTCAGCCAAGCCCAGCGCGCCCCAAACCCCCCAAAACGGCGCCGCCCGGCTGGTTTTGGGCTGTCAGCAGCTGTCCGGCGCTGGGCATGGAGCGTGTGCGGGGAGCTGGGGCCGTGCTGGCGGTGCTGGTGGTGCTGGGAGCCCCCCCGGCTGCGGGCGAGGAGCTGTCGGGTGAGCGGGGGGGGGCGAGAAGAGGGGTCGGGTGTGAAAGGGGGGGAAAGAGGGGAGAAAAGAGGGGGTGGGAGCCCCAAAAAAGTGAGTGGGAGTGGGGTGGGAGCCCCAAAGTGAGGGCAGGGATGTCTCGGGTGTGAAAGGAAAGGGGTGGGAGAGGGGGGCAAGGGGGTGTGGGAGAGCAGGCAGAGGGGTGCCCTGGGGGTCCCTGGGTTTTCCTTGAGCCCTGGAGCGGTTCCCTGGGGCTCGGGGGGGGTCGGATCTGCAAGGGGGGTGTCCCCAACCACCGTGTCCATCCCCGGGGGCTGATGGGGGGTTTCCCCTCACTCAAGAGCTGGTGCTGGGGCGTCCGTGGGGCGGAGTGGGTTGGGAAAGGGGGGTCTGGGGTGGCCCCCTGAGCTCCCACCCTGCTGTGGGGGGCTGGGGGATGATGGGGGGGGACGGGGCAGCCCCTGTCCTGTGTCCTGCTCAAACAGGGGTGTTGCAGTGGATGGGAAAGCAGGAGTGTCATTTCATCAACGGCACCGAGCGGGTGAGGTTCCTGGAGAGGCATTTCTACAACCGGGAGCAGCTCCTGCATTTTGACAGCGATGTGGGGGTCTATGTGGGGGACACCCCATTTGGGGAGATCCAGGCCAGAGACTACAACAGCCACCGTGAATATCTGAAGTACAAACGGGGTCAGGTGGGCACGTACTGCCGGTACAACTACAAGCTTGGTACCCCGTTCAGCGTGGAGAGGAGAGGTGAGCGTGGGGCTGAGCGGGTCCCCTCGGCCCCTGCTCTGGAAATGACCCTGGAGCCCCTCAAACCCTCCCTGGGAATCACCCCAGACCTCTCAGCCCTCCCTGTGCCCGTTCCCGTGGCCTTTTGTACACTCCAAGTTCCTCTTAGTCCATCCCAGTCCATCCCAGTCTCTCCCAGTGCCCCCCCGCGTCTCCACCCCGCTGGGGCCACCGAGCTCACGCCCCTCAGCCAATCCCAGCGCGTCTCTCTGATGACGCTCCAGTTGCCAGGCAGACCCAAACCAAAGACTTCCCTCACCACCACTCAGCCTCCCAGTCCCCATCGCTTCCTTCCCAGTCCAGACCAGTCATTCCCAGTCAATCCCAGTCATTCCCAGTCCCACTACCTCCACTTCCAGACCCTCTCAGTTCATTCCCAGTCGTTCTCACTTCACTCCCACATCTCCCAACTCTCTCCCCAGTGACCCCTAGCCCATCCCCTTCTACCCCACTCTATTCCCAGTCCCTCCCACTGCCATCCCAGTCCCTCCCAGTGCCCCCCAGCTGAGCCCAGTGTCTCCCCCGTCCCTCCCAGTGCCCCCCAGCGTGTCCATCTCACTGGTGCCGTCGAGCTCCCAGCCCGGCCCCGGCCGCCTGCTCTGCTCCGGGATGGATTTCTACCCTGCGCCGGTGCAGGTGAGGTGGTTCCAGGATGGGCAGGAGCTGCCGGAGCACGTGGTGGCCACCGACGTGGTCCCCAACGGGGACTGGAGCTGCCAGGTGCTGGTGCTGCTGGAAATCCCCCCCCGGCGCGGGGTCACCTACAGCTGCCAGGTGGAGCACGTCAGCCTGGAGCACCCCCTCAGCCGGCACTGGGGTACGGCCCGGCCCCCCCAGCACCGGGGGGGGTGACTGGGGGCGACTGGGAGGGAGTTTGGTGGGTGCTGGGGGTGCTGGGAGGGGGTTGGAGGGTCCTAAAGGGTCTGGGATGGGCTTGGTGGGATCCCCTACAGGGGCTGGGAAGGGACTGGCAGAAGGTTTCAGGGACCCCCGGGTGGGCTGGGGGAGAGCGGGCCGGGCTCTGTGGGGTGCCGGGTGGTGCGTGGGAGGAGGTTTTGGGGGTGCTGACCCCCCCGGCTCCCCCCAGAGATGCCACCGGACACCGTCCGCAGCAAGATCCTGGTGGGGGTCGGGGGCTTCGTCTTGGGCTTGGTCTTCCTGGCGCTGGGGCTCGGCTTCTACCTGTGGGAGAAGGTAAAGGGGGGTCCCCAGGAGTCATGTACCCCCCCTTGCTCTCCCAGAGCGTCTGTGCCCCCCAGCCCCCCCACCCCACTCTCACCCCCTTTTCTCTCCCCACAGAGCTCCTGAGCCGCCGGCGGCCGCAGCCCCTCCCCGTGGCCTCGGGCCCAGCCGGGACCCCCCAGTCCAGCCCCACCCACACTTTGGGGGTGTTCGTGTGTCCCCCCGGCCCTGCTTTTCTTTGTATTCAAACCCCAGCTGGCTGCTCCCAGTGTTCCCAGTAAAGCTTCCCAGTTCTCTGCAGTCCCGGTTATTGGGAGACAACTGGGGGGCTCCGAAAATCCCAGGAACAGGGGGGTTTGGGCACTCCCAGACATTAAAAATCCTGGGAACAGGGGGGTTTGGGCAATCCCAGGCCCAAAAAATGATGGAGAAAGGTGGTTGGGACACATCCAGAGCCCCAAAATCTTGGGAACGGGAGAGTTTGGGCAATGTCAACCCTCTGAAAAGCTGGGAATAAGGGAGTTGGGAACATTTAGTCTATGAAAATCTTGAGAACACGGGGCTATGGGTTCTCCTAGATACTAAAAGTCCAAGGAACTGGGGGGCTGGAACACTTCCAGACTTCAAAATATTGAAAAAGGTTTTTGAACACTCCCAGCCCCCTAAAACTCTTGGAAACAGGGGGGGTTTGTCATCCCAGACATTAAAAATCCTGGCAACAGGTGCTTTTGGGCACTCCCAGACCCACAAAATCCTGGAGAAAGGTGGTTTGGACACACCCAGACTCCGAAAATCCTGGGAACAGAAGGGTTTGAGCAATGTCAGCCTCCCAATAAACCAGGAACAGGGGGGTTTGGGCTGTCCCAGAACTACAAAATCTGGGAAAAGAGAGGGTTATGTACTCCAGGATACCTAAAATTGTGAGAACAGGGAGGGTTTGGCACTCCCAGCTCATCAAATGTAAAAATAGAGCGGTTTGGGCACCATCAGCATCTAAAAAACACAGGAACAGGGGGATTGGGAACATTCAGACACCAAAAATCTTGGGAACACGGGGGTATGAGCTCTCCTAGACCATAAAAATCCAAGGGATAGTGGTGTTGGATCACTCCCAGACCCCAAAATATCGGAAAAGAGGGGCTTGGACACTCCCTGAGCACAGAAATCCTATGAAAAGGGGGGGTTTGGGAACTCCCAACCCACCCAAAATCCCAGGAACAGAGAGGTTTGAGCACCTCCAGAGCCTCAAAATCTTTGGGAAAGGGATGTTTAGTCACCCCCAGCCCCTCAAAATCCTCGCATTGTGCAGGTCCAGGCCCTCAAAATTCGGGAACACTGGGCTTTTGGCACTCCTAGACTTTGAAAATCCTGGAAAAAGAGGCTTTGGGCACTGCCAGCCCCTGAAAATCCCGGGAACAGGGGGGATGTGGCACACACAGACTGCCAATATTGTGGGAAAAGAGAGGTTTGGGCACACCCAGATCCCAAAATTTCTGGGAAATGGGGGGTGGGAGGCTTTGGCCAATGTCAGCCTCCAAAAAACCCGAGGAACAGGGGGGTTTGGGCACCCCCAGACCCCAAGAATCCTGAGAACAGCAGGTGCTGAGCACCCCCAGAGCCCCAAAATCTTGGTCAAAGGGCTATTTGGGCACTACCAGACCAAGTCCCCAAATGCGGAGAAGCTCCAGGCCCCCAAAAGTCCTGGAAAAGAGGGGTTTGGGTACCACCAAAAATCCTGGGGAAAGGGGGATTGGGCACCCTCAGCCCCCCATCTCCCTCTTGTTTTGGGCAGCTCTGAGCTCCGGGACAACTTTATCCTCTGTTTGAGGTTCCCCTGATCTGTGGGAGCCCTGGGTGGCCGGTTTTGGGTTGCCCTGAGCTTTGGGAGCCCTGGTTGGGCATTTTTGGTGGGCCCTGAGCTCCCCCCTCCCCCGCAGGCAACGGACCCCCCAGAACCTCCCAGCCCCGGGGCTGCCGCGGGGGCCCCCAACGGCCCTCAGCCAATCCCAAAGCGCCCACGCCGCCCGCGCCCAATCCCAGCGCGCCGCGCTGATGACTCATCAGTCGCCGGGAAGACGCCTCGAAAAAAGGGCCCCAGCTGCGCCCTCAGCCAAGCCCAGCGCGCCCCAAACTCCCCAAAACGGCGCCGCCCCGCTGGTTTGGGGCTGTCAGCAGCTGTCCGGCGCTGGGCATGGAGCGTGTGCGGGGAGCTGGGGCCGTGCTGGCGGTGCTGGTGGTGCTGGGAGCCCCCCCGGCTGCGGGCGAGGAGCTGTCGGGTGAGCGGGGGGGTGGGAAATAGGGGAAAAGAGGGGAGAAAAGAGTGTGTGGGAGCCCCAAAAGTGAGTGCGAGGGGGGTCAGAAGGCCCAGAGTGAGTGGGAGGGGGGTTGGGAGCCCCAAAGTGAGGTTGGGGGGGTGTGGGGCTTGTGGGGCCGGTGGGAAAGGGGTGAGAGAGAGGGGCAAGGGGTGTGGGAGAGCAGGCAGAGGGGTGCCATGGGGGTCTCTGGGTGTCCCTGGAGCCCTGGAGCGGTTCCTTGGGGCTCTGGGGGGGTGGGATCGGCATTGGGGGGGTCCCCAACCCCCCTGTCCATCCCCGGGGGGCTGATGGGGGGGCTCCCCCCCAGCCAAGAGCCGGTGCTGGGGCGTCCATGGGGCAGAGGGGAGTGGGAAAGGGGGGTCCTGGGTGGCCCCCTGAGCTCCCAGCCTGCTGTGGGGGGCTGGGGGATGATGGGGGGGGGACGGAGCACCCCCTGACCCGTGTCCTGCACACACAGGGGTGTTCCAGAGGATCACAAAACGCGAGTGTCACTTTATCAACGGCACCGAACGGGTGAGGCTCCTGGAGAGGTACATCTACAACCGGGAGCAGCTCCTGCACTTCGACAGCGATGTGGGGGTCCATGTGGAGGACACCCCGCATGGGGAGAAGTTTGCCAGGAGCTTGAACAGCCAAAAGGAATATATGGAGTACACACGGTCAGCTGTGGACTGGTACTGCCTGCACAACTACAGGGTCGTCACCCCGTTCACCGTGGAGAGGAGAGGTGAGCATGGGGCAGAGCGGGTCCCCTCGGGAATGACCCTGGAGCCCCTCAAACCCTCGCTGGGAATCACCCCAGACCCCTCAGCCCTCCCTGTGTCGGTCCCCGTGGCCTTTTGTCCCCTCCCAGCCCATCCCAATCCCTCCCAGTCCCTCCAAGCCCATCCAATGCCCCCTAGTCTGTCCTAGTCCATTCCAGTTTTTCTCAGTCCATCCCAGTCCATCCCAGTCTCTCCCAGTGCCCCCGCCGTCTCCACCCCGCTGGGGTCACCGAGCTCACGCCCCTCAGCCAATCCCAGCGCGTCTCTCTGATGACGCTCCAGTTGCCAGGCAGACCCAAAGCAAAGACTTCCCTCACCACCACTCAGCCTCCCAGTCCCGATCGCTTCCTTCCCAGTCCAGACCAGTCATTCCCAGTCCTTCCCAGTCCTTCCCAGACCCTCTCACTCCACTCCCAGACCCTCTCACTCCATTCCCAGTCGTTCTCACTTCACTCCCACATCTCCCAACTCTCTCCCCAGTGCCCCCCCAGCCCATGCCCTTCTACCCCAGCTCTATTCCCAGTCCCTCCCACTACCATCCCAGTCCTTCCCACTGCCATCCCAATCCCTCCCAATGTCCTCCAAGCCCTCTGCCCTCCCTCCCAGTGTCCCCCAGCTCAACCCAGTGTCTCCCCCGTCCCTCCCAGTGCCCCCCAGCGTGTCCATCTCGCTGGTGCCGTCGAGCTCCCAGCCCGGCCCCGGCCGCCTGCTCTGCTCCGGGATGGATTTCTACCCTGCGCTGGTGCAGGTGAGGTGGTTCCAGGATGGGCAGGAGCTGCCGGAGCACGTGGTGGCCACCGACGTGATCCCCAACGGGGACTGGAGCTACCAGGTGCTGGTGCTGCTGGAAATCCCCCCCCGGCGCGGGGTCACCTACAGCTGCCAGGTGGAGCACGTCAGCCTGGAGCACCCCCTCAGCCGGCACTGGGGTACGGCCCGGCCCCCCCAGCCCCGGGGGCACACTGGCAGGGGGGACGGGGGCTCAGGGGGACAATGGGGGCAATTGGGAGGGAGACTGGGGGAGAACAGGAAGGGCTCAAGGGTGATGGAGAAGCTGAGAAGGAGGTTGGTGGGTGTTGGGAGGGCTTGAGAGGAGCTTTGGGGAATCCTGGGAGCAGCTGGGAGAGAGTTTGGGGGAGCCTGGGCGGGACAGGAGGGAGGCTTGGTGGGCTTGTCATGACTGGGAGGGATTCTGAGAAGTGGTGGGGGGTCTGGGAAGGGACTAGGAGGGTTTCTGGGGTGTCCTCGGCGTGATGGGAGGGGGTTTGTAGGGTCCTAAAGGGGCTGGGAGGGGCTTTGTGGAATCCCCAAAGGGGCTGGGAAGGGACTGGCAGGAGGTCTCAGGGGGTGCCGGGTGGGCTGGGAGAGACTAGGATGGGGTTTGTAGAGTCCTGGGTGGTGTCTGGGAGGTTTTGGGGGTGCTGACCCCCCCGGCTCCCCCCAGAGATGCCACCGGACACCGTCCGCAGCAAGATCCTGGTGGGGGTCGGGGGCTTCGTCTTTGGCTTGGTCTTCCTGGCGCTGGGGCTCGGCTTCTACCTGCGGGAGAAGGTAAAGGGGGGTCCCCGGGAGTTGTGTCCCCCTTTCCCAGAGCTTGTGTGCCCCCCCTCTCCCCCCACCCCCTTTGCTCTCACCCCCTTTTCTCTCCCCACAGAGCTCCTGAGCCGCCGGCGGCCGCAGCCCCTCCCCGTGGCCTCGGGCCCAGCCGGGACCCTCCAGTCCATCCCCACGCTGAGTTTGGGGGGTCGTGTGTCCCCCCTGTTGCTGCTGTATTTTGGTGCTGAAAAATTCTCCAGAGCAGTTAATTAGGGGTGAGATAAGAAAGGGTTTATTCTGCCAAGGCTAAGATGTTACAGGACGCTCGCAGGCCGTTCCTGAGAGGTTACATTTTATAACACCATCCATCCAATCCCAGGTGTGTCCACCCTGTGGCCTTTACTCTGGTCTGCCCCGGGTCCGCCCCCTTAAAATGGGTCTGGGGTGTATTTCGGGACCCCCCATTCATCCCATCTTCACCATCATCAGAGCACAAAAGGTACATAGTTACCTAATTCCTGACCTATTCTGTGGTTTAGGCCTTGATATGCTGTTCTGCCAACAATCTAGGCCTTGCCTTGACAAAAGACTAAACATTTCTATTAGATTTGGGGCTATGAGTGATATAGGGAGGATAGAATGGGGTAAGAGGGTTAAGGAATGTATAAACAAAGGTACTGGAGAAAGGGAAAGGGACAAGGGACAAAAGAGGGGGTAGGTTGCTGCTTTTAAAATCTACTTCCACTACTTATAAAACTTACAAGTCTTACAAATATTAGAAAAATAAAAAAAACATTAGGGGCTTAAGGCATCAAGGACACGAGGACCTGCCTGTCAGGGGCTGTTTGTCAGGGCCAGGAGCAGGACTTTTTGGAGAGAAACAGGGATTGGGTATTGAAATGGGCTGCCCAGGGAGGTGGTGGAGTCACCATCCCTGGAGGTGTTTAAGCAAAGCCTGGCCATGGCACTGAGTGCCGTGCTCTGCTTGACTTGCTGGGCATGGGGCGTAGGTTGGACGCCGGTTGATCTCACAAGTCTCTGCCAAGCTCATGGACTCTGGGCTTCTGTGCCAGCCCAGCCTTTGGGGACAGCGTGCTGGTGGCTCCGAGGCTCCATCCTTGCCTTGCCTTGCCCATCTCCTGGCTGCCAGGCAAGGGCCTTGTGACATCACAGCCTCTGTGGAACAGCGCGGGGGCTGAAAACTGTCAGTGCTGCGTCCCCGTGCCCAGAGCCTGGGCAGAAGTCGGCTGGCAGGGACGGGCAGAGACTGTGCAGAGGTGTCAGCTCGTCCTGCAGCAGCACGATGCCCAGCCAGGGCATCTCCTGGCTCCTCAGGCTCTCGCTGCTCCTGCTCTTGCCTGGCCCACTCGAGCCTTGCAGCCGTGCCACAGGTGCCATTGCTGAGAACCGGGCTTTTCCTTGGATGGCCCCTTGCCAGCAAAGGCAGGAGAGGCTGGAGAGAGGGGAAGGAGGGGGGTCAGGCCGCTGGGATGGGGCCGGCGGGCCGTGAGCCCGAAGCCAGCAAGGCCTTGGGCCCACACGGTGTCAGGGGAGGACTGAGAGCCCCCAGGGAGGAGGAAAGCTGGGCAGGCCCCAAGGCTGCTGGGCCTCTTCCTTGCCAGCCCTTTGGCCAAGGCCCCGAGGCAGAGGTGGGGCTCAGCCCCTGCCCAGCAATGGGGCACAGGCTGAGCCCCAGGGACACCAGAGCCAGGCGGCCTGAGCTCTTCTTCCTGCAGCGTCTGCCTGGGGCAGCCCAGCCAGGCCTGAGTCTCTGCAGGAGAGGCCAAGCCCAGCCAGAGAGGGCTCAGCCCTCTGAGGCTGCACTCACTGCCAAGGGAACAAAACATTGGCCCAGAGGACATCCTGCCCCCAATTGGAGAACTGGAAAGGTCAAGAATAAAAGAGTCACCCCCCTCCATTCTTCAAGACATGTTTAGACCTCTTTCCTAAAAGCATCCAGGACTTGGGTCACCCAATTTTCTCTCTGACAAGGCTTTGCAGGGGCTGCTTGGGAAAGGGAAGCCCTGAGGCCCCAGTGCAGATGGGGGGGGCTGCACTCTGGGGGGGTCGGCCTTTGGCTCTTGGCTTCCAGGGGCCACCAGGAGTCAGTGAGCCGGGCTGGGGACGAGGGGCAGGACTGGCTGGGATTGCCTCTGGGGCCTGGCCCAGAAAATGGAAGTGTCCCCATGGGGGCAGCTGGAAAGGGCCCAGGAAGGAACTGCTGCCCCAGCGCAGGCTGTGGGCCAGCTCTCTGCAAGAGAATTGAGGGCTCTGAGCCAGAGAAGGGATGAGAGCTGGGTACAGGCTTGGGAATTGCCGGGAGGGGAAAGGGATGTCTAAGAACAAGTCCCTCAGGAGAGGGAAGCAGAGAGGCTGAGTTTTGACCCCAGCACAAGGGTCTGCAGGGCAGAGCAGAGAATATCCCCCACGTGAGATTGTTGTGCATCCCTCCTTGCAGTTCTGACGGGCACTTCTCTTCAAAGGTCGTTCTGTGAGCGTCTTTTTGTTCTTTCCAGGTGGGATGCAAGCGGTGGGGTGGGCTTTGGGCACTGGGGGGCAGAGGAGCAAGGTGAGCATTTTCCTGCCAGTCTGAATCAGATGTTAATTCTGGTGGGCTGTATCCTTGGTGAATCTAAGCACATCCCTTGGCATTTGGTTTTTTTCTGGTGGTACACAACCTGAGAAGCATCAGCAGAATGGGAAGGAGGTCCTTGCAGGAAGAGGTCAGTGTAAAGGAAGCTGAGAGGGGAGCTTTGGTGAGAATGTTGCCCTCTGAGGGCATCCCTCAGTTTGTACCTTTGCCTCTGTGATGCTGAAAAACCCGGTCTGAAGAACTGCTCAGAGAGTTTTGGATCTTTTGAACAGCAAAGGGATTTATTGCCAACGTCGGGAGCAAGCGTGGTTTGCACCACAGAGAACTTGCTCAAAGGGTTCACACAAAATCAGAGGTTTTATACAATTTTCATATGTGATTAAATGTGATAAATTCATGCGATTACATCTGTCTATACGTATTAATAATGGGCAGAGCTCAGGTGGAGCTCAGACGGAGCTTCTCTTGGCCCTCAATGCTCAGAAGGGTTTAGGTGAGTCTGGGGTCTCTGCTCCTCTTCATCAGTTCCCAGTGTCCCCATCCTTGTCCCTCATGTTTCCATTCCTGGTGCTCTCATTCCCAGTGTGACCATCCCACTCCTGATGTCCCCATTCACAGTCCCTGGTGTCTCCAACCTGCTGCCAATGTCCCCGTTCCCATTCCTGGTTTCCCCATTCCCAGTTCCTGCTGTCCCCAACCTGCTCCCAATGTCTCCATTGCTATTCCTGGCGTCTCCATCCCATTCCTCATGTCCCCAACCTTCCCCTGGTCTTCCCATCCTGCTCCTGGTGTCCCCATCCCTTTCCCCATTGTCTCATGGTGTCCCCATTCCCATTCCTGGTGACTCCAACCTGCTCCCAATGTCCCCATTCCCATTCCTGGAGTTCCCATTCCTATTCCTGGTGTCCCCAACCTGCTCCCAGTGTCCCCATCCCTCTCCCCGGTGTCCCCATCCAAGCCCCCATATTATAACACAATAAGTACGATTATACAGACAAACAATTGGTTTTAACCCACAAAACCCAAATGTATAACCCAGCAGCCTGGGGCATGAACAGAGTGGTGTTTGTTGGGCCCCCTGAGCCCAAAGGGAAGGGAGAGGGGAAAAAACCCTGTTGGTGAGAGTGGTGGTGCAGTCTGGTCAAGAGTGGTGGTTGCAGTTCGGTCGAGAGTGGTGATCTGCAGTCTGGTTGACAGTGGTGGTCACAGTCTGATTGAAAAGTGGTGGTTGCAGTCTGGTTGAAGAGACATCGCTGACATCACAGGTAGAGCAGTGACATCACAGGGACAGTGGTGACATCACAGAGACAGCAGTGACATCACAGAGACATTGGAGACATCACAGAGACATTGGAGACATCACAGAGACAGCGGTGACATCACAGAGACAGTGATGACATCACAGAGACAGTGGTGAAATCACAGAGACATCGATGACATCACATATACATCGGTGACATCACAGAGACAGCAGTGACATCACAGGGATATCAGTGAAATCAAAGAGACATCCGTGACTTCAAAGGTACAGCGGTGACATGACAGGCACAGTAGTGACATCACAAAGACATCCGTGACATCACAGAGACAGCAGTGACTTCACAGGCACAGCAGTGACATCACAGGGACATTGGTGACATCACAGAGACAGCAGTGACATCACAGGGACAGCCATGACATCACAGGGACATGAGTGACATTACAGACACAGCAGTGACATCACAGAGACATCGGTGACATCACAGGGACAGAAGTGACATCACAAAGACCGCAGTGACATCGCAGGGACAGGAGTGACCTCACAGGGACAGGAGTGACATCACAGTCACAGCAGTGACATCACAGACACAGCAGTGACATCACAGAGGCACCAGTGACATCACAGGGACAGCAGTGACATCACAGGGACATCGGTGACATCACAGGGACAGCAGTGACTGTTACGACCCGCCCCAGGAAAAAGGCGGGGGGGGGTAACTCAGGTTTTATGAATAATTCCCTTGGGGTGGATTAAAGTGAAACGACACTAAATAATCGGTGTCTGAAAACATATTGACAAGGTTTATTTTAACAATTCTGTATCAACAGCTATGCCAGCATTTTGGGGGCTGTCATATAACAAGGCCAACCTTTCGGGGGAGGAGAAAAATGCATAGGGGAGAGAAATATAGGGTAAGAGTAAGGGAGAGCAAGAAAAAAGAAAAGATAAGAGTGGTAAAAATGTAAATAGTCACTGCCCACTGGATCCAGCCATGTAAAAGGAATGGTCTGGATCCGCAGGTGGGGAGGGGAAAAGAAGGAAAAATCCCCCCCAAACCCCCAAAGTCACCAGTCAGTATCCATATCCTTTGCACCTCCCCAAGGCGGGGAGTTGTTTCCATAGGGGGGTGTCCCCCTTTTTGGTGTGGAGTTCATGTGGAGGGCGTGGTAAACTCGGCTCTTCCCACCTTTTCGGGGCTTGACATCTTCTGCACTGGAGGAGGGGGATGGGCCCAGTTGCCCATCAGAAAGTCAAAAGCCTGCAGAAGTCTCTTAGAATGCATAAATCATTAACTGTTCCAGTCTCTGACACCACCCCGTCATTTATGCAGTCAATGATTTTTGTTCTCTGTGAATCTTCTCTGTGGGTGGTGCTTCTCGGATAGTGGACAGGAAGACAGAAGAGTAAAGGAAAGGAAGAGGTAGCCCCAATGCACCACAATCCTCCTCTCTCAAAAAAACCCAGCTTTATAATTGTGCTGGTTTAAAAGTTAACCAGCGGGGAAATGAACTCAACTCAAAAGAGAGATTATAAGTCAGAATAACAATTTAATAAAATAATATAATCAATACAGTTATACAGACAAACAATTGGTCTTAACCCACAAAACCCTAATGTAGAACCCAGCACCCTGGGCCATGAACAAAGTGGTTTTCCTTGGGCCCCCCCTGAGTCCAAAGTAAAGGGAGAGGGGAAAAAAACCTGCTGGTGGGAGAGCTGTTGCAGTCTGGTCAAAAGTGGTGATTGCAGTCCAGTTGAGGGGGGTGGTCTCAGTCTGGTTGAGAGTGGTGAGCTGCAGTCCTCCTCTGGATCCCACGAGTGGTGGAAAGGTTCCTAAACTCCAGGTTTATATATTCTCCAGTTCAGGCAGGAATGCTCAGTCCTTCCCTCAGAGCGGGGAATTCCATAAAAGGGTATGAGGACAGGAACATCTTCCTATCTCGCAGGCCTCTACTAATAACAGTTTCTGGGAAATGGCATGGAAGGCCATAGAATACACAGTTTTGGGTTTTACCCATCCAGTGATGAATTGGTCCCAGCTGTTCTAACTAGGACACCGTTAAAAACTTCACAAAAATCAATATTTATTACCAAGAGGTGGCCAACAAAACGAACAAACCCAAAAGGGAGGAAGGAGGAGAGAAATAAGCCCCCAGTTCCCAGCTGTTGCCCATAAAGTTCTCTTACCGACCTAGCAGGCCTGTAATTACCCAGAGCAGAAGCTGCATCCTCGGAGAGTCAGTAAGTTCACAAACTGGCAGGTGTCCCTGCCAAAGGCAACGTTGTCCTTGGTGTGAAGTTAGCTCTCCCTGAAGAAAGCACTATCCTCTTTTTATACAATTAACTGAGTGGCCACAGCCTCCCAGGTGTGGCCAGCACCGCCCAGCCCGAGGCCCTCAGTCCCACCCCCGGTTATGTCAGTGCATCTCTTCTGCAACGTGAGAACTTTGGAAATCCCCTCACACGCGTAGTGTGTTTTGGGGGTCTTTCTTAACTGAGTCTGGGGCCGAGCCTTCCTCATTCATCTCACTCTCCTCCAAATGCCCTTGGACAGGACAACTGGCCAATCACAGAACACCAATTAAAACAGTTTATACACAAGTTCTCCCTCCAAGGATGAATTCACTGTTTTATCAGTGAACTTGGCAGGGAGAATATAAACTCCTGCAGGTGGCTGGGGCCAAACACAGACCAAAAGTATCAGCATAAATTCACCCTGGTACAGATAGGCAGGCGCAGGGAAAGCCACGTGTGCGCAGAAGAGATGCACTGACATAACCAAGGGGTGGGACTGAGGGCCTCGGGCTGGGCAGTGCTGGCCACACCTGCAAAGGTTGAGGTCACTCAATTAATTGTATAAAAGCAGATAGCTCTTTTTTTGGAGGGGAGCAAGCTCCACATAAAGCACAATGTTGCCTTTGGCAGGGACACCTGCCAGTTTGTGAACTTACTGACTCTCCAAGGATGCAGCTTCTGCCATTGGTAATTACAGGCATTCTAGGTCAGTGAGAGAACTTTATGGGCAACAGCTGGGTGACTGGGGGAGGTCATGCTAGGGGCTTATTTCTCTCTTCCTTCCTCTCCTTTGGGTGTGTTCATTTTGTTGGCCACCTCTTGCTAATAAATATCAGTTTTGTTGAGCTTTCAATGGTGTGTGGTTTCAGCTTCAGTATGATCCGAACTCCTCCCCAACACAGCCAGCCAAAGGGATGATGGGTTGACAGGCCCAGCTCTCTGCAAGAGAAGTTGAGGGCTCTGAGCCAGAGAGGGGATGAGAGCCGGGTACAGGCTTGGGAATTGCTGGGAGGGGAAAGGGATGTCTAAGAACAAGTCCCTCAGGAGAGGGGAAGCAGAGAGGCTGAGTTTTGACCCCAGCACAAAGATGTGCAGGGCAGAGCAGAGAATATGCCCACATAAGATTCTTGTGCGTCCGTCTTTGCAGTTCTGACAGGCACTTCTTGTCACAGCCTGTCCTCTCCATTCCAGAATAGGCCCTGGCAACCAAAGAACCAACACCCCACACCACAGTGCAGACCAACCCATGTGCTTTGGGCCTTTTGTTGTCCTATCCATTCTGGCCTATGCTCTCCATTCTGGAATGGCCTCTGGAAACCAAAGAACCAAGCCCCCCCCATGTGACAGTTCAACCCCATCCGTGTGCCAAGGGCTCCTTTGTGGTGTCACAGCCTGTCCCCTCCATTCCAGAATGGGCCCTGGCAACCAAAGAACCAACGCCCTCCAACCCCAAAGTGAAGCCCCACCTTTGTGCCATGGGCCCTCTTGTGATGTCACAGCCTATCCCCTCCATTCCAGAATGGCTGCTGGAAACCAAAACACCAATGTCTCACAGCCCCCAGTGCAGCCCAACCCCTGTGCCATGGGCCCCTTTGTGGTGTCACAGCCTGTCCTCTCCATTCTGGAATAGCCCCTGGCAACCAAAGAACCAACACCCCACACCAGGAACACTCCAGGAAGGGCCCCGTGCTGCCCCCAGACTCTTGGCTGTGGCTCCTTGGGGCGAGTGTGTGATTGCCCCCGAAACTGGGACTCCAAGGTTCCCCTTTGCAATGGTGCCCATCTGTGCCCGGTGCATTGGGAGAGGCCTGTGCCGAGGGCAGAGCTGGAGAGCCCCTGTGCTGCTCCAGGCCTGCAGAGCTGCCTCTTTGCCTGCAGCCCTTGCCAGCTGGGAGCGGGCAGGCCTGCGGGCTCCCTGCCTGCTCTCCAGCCTCTCCCGTGCCTCGGGCGCTCCAGCCCCGGCCCACTGGGGCTCCGCTGGCCTCGCTCCGTGGTGCCCGTGTCTCCTGCCCCTGGGCAGCCCCAGCTCACCCCGCTGGGCCATGGGCTGGCTTTGCCCACAGCCGGGAGCTTGGAGAGCCTGGGGGGAAAGCTTCTGCCAGGGGGGTCCTTCCCAGGCCTCCCGTCAAACCAGGCGGGGTCTCTCCTGGGAGCAGGAATTCTCCCTTGCTCAGCAATTTTCCAGGGCCTTTACAGTGGAAGTTTCTGGCAGGGGAGTTACAAAATCAGGAAGTTTCTGAATGCTTTTCAGTTGGGGTAGTTGCCACATAAGTGTCCAGGTTTTGGAGAAGAGATGCTGAACAAGGGCCCTCTATATCCAGCTGTAAATACTCTGCTCAACAGACAAGGTCAAGTAAAGTTCAAGCTCCAAACAAGCACCAGAGACCACCAAGAGGCCACCAGAAGACCCCCAGTGACCAAATAAGGACTTTGGAAGGACTTCAGAAGGACCTCTCTGAGCTGATTCCCATGGGTGTGATCTTTCTGAGGGAAGGAGTGAATATGTAAGACATTTGCTGGATGTGTAAAATTGTGAGTAAATCTCAGCTGCCCTGGGGGAGAACGGGACACACACCTGGTTGGGGGGAAGATCCTCCCCTGGGTGAGGGGCTGATAACAAAGAATGGCTGCCCACTATTGCTCCCAAATTGAGCCTTGGGGGTTTCTTTTCTGCCCATTTAGGGTCCCACCATGAGGAGACAAGTGCCCCTTGCAGTCCTGGGCCCTCATTACCTCCTTGTCCCTGCTCAGCAGCCTGGGAGGTTGTCACAGGTTTACTTGTTCAAAAAAACACCAGGCAGGGAATGTTTCTTTGCCCTGCATTGCTGTAAGGGGGGGATGTTGAACGGGGGAGGGGAGTTTTTGCCTTGGGTGATTGACCCACACAAATGAACCAACCAGCACATCCACATTCCAAGCTGAAGACCCTCCAAAGGCTGTGGAGGGGTGTGGGGTTTTTTAACTCTCTCCTGAGAAATGGGAGGCACTGCCTGGAGGAGGCCACTTGCCCCTGCATGGTCCCAGTTGCTCCCAGTATGATCCCACTATGAGTCCAGTCACCTCCAATGATCCCAGTAAATTCCAGACACTTCCAGTGGATTCAATGAATCCAGTTTGATCCCAGTCACCCCCAGTATGGTTGCAGTCCCTCTCACATACTCCCAGTGTTATTGCAGTCATTCCCAGGATGGTCCCAGTATGAGCCCAGCAGGGGCCCAGCTGCTCCCACTCTGATCCCAGTTGCCCCCAGTGTGGTGGCTCCAGGATGGATCAGGAATGGGGACCCCTCTGTGCCCCCCCTTGTGTCACCCTGTTCTGGGGGAGCTTGGGGGGGACATCTGCACCCCAACACGGCATCCAACACATCCCAAAGTGTGCTGGGACCCCCTTAAACCACCCCACAGCCCCCAAGGGACCTCCAAACCCACTCAGAGCCCACCCAGGACTCCACCTAACCCTTTTTTGGGTTGAGACTTTCATGGGCACTGATGTTACTGGGAACCTCCCCACTGCAGGTGAGGAGCTCTGCGGTGAGAGGGGGTGTTGGGAAGGGGGGGATCAGTGAGTCAGAGGGGATAAAAGGGGTGGTGGGACCCCAAAGTGAGCGGGAGGGGAGTGGGACCCCCCAAAAGTGGAGGGGGAGGGAGAATGAGGATTGGGGGCTGATGGGAAAGGAGTGGGAGAGGTCAGAAGAGTGGGGAAAAGGGGAGGGTGGGACCCCCAAACTGAGCATGAGGGGGGTGGGGATTGGGGGAATGATGTGTGAGGGGTGGGAGAGGGGGAAAAATGGGGGTTGAGACCCCAAAACTGATCTTGGGGTGGCTGGGGATTGAGGGGACCATGGAAAAGTGGGAGGAACAGGGAGAGGAGTGGAAAAGGGGGCGTGGTCTGGAGGGATGGACAGTCCCATGGGGGTCTTTGGGCACTGGGGGTTAGGAAAGGGGGGTGGTCCCCCTGAGCTCCCAGCTTCCTCTGGAGTCCTGGGGGCTGCTGGATCCAATCTCAGCCTTGCATTGTGCCAACTGTTGAAATTTAGAGCAATTCTAGAGGGGGGACTGAACCATGTTTGTCCCCCAGGCTTTAATGATGGCAAATCAGATCTATTGATAGAA